TATTTTAATAATCTTGGATCAGATTGTGGAAAAGTATTAGCTGATGCACTTTTCAAGAGCTCTACGCTGAAATATTTAAATATTGAAATAATTGATAAACTTTTACCTATTTATAATAAGGCATATTTGTTAAAAAGCTTAGAAGAGGAATTTACCTGTGCAAGAGATAAACGGGATTTAAGTTTAATATTTATTGATATAGATCATTTTAAACGCATCAATGATAAATATACTCATGATGCAGGAGATTATGTTTTAAAAGAATTGGCTACATTAATTCAAACACTTATTCGTCCTGAAGACGTTTTTGCACGATATGGTGGAGAAGAGGTTACTATCCTTCTAAAGAATGCAAATCCTGAGCTAGCTTTCGAAAGTGCAGAGAAAATTCGAAAAGCTATTGAGTCTCATGATTTTAATTATGATGGAAAACGCATACCAGTTACAGTCAGCAGTGGAATTGCTGATATGAATTCATCTGTAGAATCTCATGAAGATTTGCTTAAGCGTGCTGATCAAGCTTTATATGTTGCTAAGCTTCAAGGTCGAAATCGGGTAAAAATTTGGACTAAAGACATTGACTCAGAAAGTGATTCAAATAGTAAGTTTTGAAGTTTTAAACTTTAGAAACACAAATTTTCTTTAATGCTAATTTAAATGTTTTCAGATTATCTTGAGATGTTTTCAGGACCTATATACTTCCCTAGTAATAGAAAAACCATACAACATAATAAATTACCTTCTGTAACAAACGAGCTGTCAGTGACATTTCAATTGAATCTCAAAAGACATAATTCAGATTGGATAAATATTTTTCATAAAGGTATAATTTATTAATTAATTAATTAATTTATTGGTGGATATTGTTCCATAACAATTAAGGTTGGCCCGATTAAAGTTTTTAAAGTAATGGTGAATTGAGTTAAGAGTCGGGAAATAGCTATTTGTGAAATGGGATGAATCCATAATTACCACAAGAATGATAATTATATATAATGTCTAAAATAGCTCTTTTTTTTTTTTTTTTACTATAAAATAAAATAAAATGAAGGTGAAAATGCACAGCAGACCCGTACCCCAGCGTTTTTTCTGTCACCGAATAATTCACAACCACACTTTACATGCTCAGTAAATAACAATTGGAATTATTATGGTCAAACTGGACCTAATCTTGAGTTAAACAGATGGTATCATATAGCCTACACGCTTTCTGAACCTCAAAAATGTATGGAGTTATATGTAAATGGTAAATCGATTGGGTACATAGAGACAAAAGAAATTAAATTCAATGAATTTCCTTTGAAAATTGGGCATTCTGATTGGCATGCAGATTTTCAGGGACAAATGAGGTATGATTTACTACAGTTAAGGGTATATTAAAAAAAATCTGCTGTCTAATTAAAAATCATCTTTCATAGCAATTTTCGATTTTACAATATTTGCTTATCGGCTGATAAAGTTTTTAAAGATTATATATCATATCATAGCAATGAGTTAGGTCGAAATCAAGTAAAAATTCGACCAAAGAAATTGACTCAAATAGTAAGTTTTGAAACTTTAAAAGAATCTCAAATTCTCATCAATGCCAAAGTTGTTTATCTAAATATTCTCATCAATGCTAAAGTTGTTTATCTAAATATTCTCAGAATGTCTTGAGATTTTTTCAAGACCTACATATTTTCCTACTAATAAAAAAACTATACAACATAATGGGTTGCCCTTTGTAATAAACGAGCTATCAGTGATATTTCGATTGAATATCGAGAAACATGCTCCAGATTGGATACCTATTTTTCATAAAGGTATAATTAATTGATTGATTAATTAATTGGTGGATTTCGTTTGACGACAATTAAGGTTGACCTGATTTAAAGTTATGGTTAGCCTTAAAAGCTAATGTTGAATAGAGTTAAAAGTCAGAAAATAGCTTTCAGTGAATCCATAATTAGCACAAGAATGATAATTATGATATAATGGTTAAGCTTGTCTAAAATAGCAAATTTTTTTTTGTAAATAAAAAAAATGATAGATGAGGAT